GAATATGAAATATGCTAATCAAAACTAGCACTTTTGCTTGAATAAAAACCTTAATGTTTTTGGAGCCATTCACACAGAAGGCAAGTAGTATAAACATGCACTAGACATCTTTAAAAGTTCCGCCGCTTCTATCTTCTTTTCAGCACCTCGCTCAAGAGCACCATGTTTTAAAGATCAAATTGACAGTTTAAAACAAAATGTGTCTCAAGACGCTGCTTTTCCATTTCATTGCTGTAAAAATTCATGTTTAAATACATCTGTCAAACAAGTGTTTGTATAGAAAAACATACACAACCGATGCAGTGGAACTCAAAAAAATGTGTAAACACTCCCTTTAAATATCTTAATGAATAATTGCATTTAATATAGGCTACAAAACGGTCAAAAGGTTCCAGCATTTATGCATGAAACTACTACCAAATGGTGTTTTCTATAACATTTATGAGCCCCATTCACACCGAGAATGATAACTATAGCGTCAACACCAATGCACGATAACATTTTTTACAAAATAGTGTGCACTGTAGTTGCAGTCTGCTGCTTGAAATGCTCAAGCTCTTCGAAATTGGCTGTCAATGTTTTTTTTTGTTCATTAGCTGGAAAACAAATAGCACTAAAAGTGAGTCCAATATTGTTCCCGCGTTGTTCTACTTTTAGCTGTGGTGTGGTATGAACCGACTTCCCAATAAAGTTAGAACAATTATTATTAGAACTTTATTAAAAAGTATGAGCCGCTTTCATATCAACAAACTGTCACACAGGAATACCTCAGCCAATGAAGCACAACTATTTATTTAACAAAAGCTTAATGGGCCATGTGCTCCTCAACATGCCAGTTAATTAGAGTGAATGAATGAATTTGTACAGTGTTTTTTGTACGTAAACATACCTTTTTTTTCAGAAAAACGTCTACCTAAACCTAACCCTCAGGGTGTAAGCAGATCATACAAAAACATACAAATTAGTTTTTATTTTCAAATCCATATCAACTTTCACAAAAACATACAAATTCTCATGTGTATATCTCAGTGTAAACTGCTCAAAAGTTTGTCTCAGTGCAAGCCAAAATCTTAAAAAGTGACTGGTCCATTTGGATCATGACTTATTTGTCCCAACCAGATGTCTCAACATGTTATTTCATTGCCAAAGCAATAGGAAAAGACAGTAATCAAGGGAATAAAACCTTTTTACAAGGAAGCAGGTCCACGGGTCACAGAACACCATGTTGCTAGGACATCACAGACCCGTCAACAGCAATCCGGCCGCTGTCACTGTCCAATAAAACCTCCACGAGGCTGACGAACGAGCATGTCAGCGCGGCAAATTAAAGTGCTCTGACCTCATGAAGAAACCCTTACCTAAAAATACCAGTGGACTGTAATTCAGAGGGACAGGTTAGATATGGGTGCTATTGCACTGTGTATGGAACATTCATCATTGTCACATTTGATGAGCCCTATTGCTTGGGGAGTATTTGATGGATGGGAGCATGTGTAATTCAAGCAGGGCAGGAACAGGAAGTAAGCTTGGGTGTGTCACTGTGAGCTGAGATTATTACTGTCAGCTTAAAAATTACGAATGAATCACGGCCTCCTTTTTCAAAAGAAAAGCTCCAAATCACGCCATAGCGTATATAATGTAAATGAACTAAACTTCCCCAAAATGCTGGACATCAGATATCCCATAAATCTCATTCTAAATGATTTAAAAATGCGAACCACTAACTCAAAGTGCCGCTCTGACCTCATGAAGAAACCCTTACCTAAAAATACCAGTGGACTGTAATTCAGAGGGACAGGTTAGATATGGGTGCTATTGCACTGTGTATGGAACATTCATCATCGTCAAATTTGATGAGCCCCATTGCTTGGGGAGTATTTGATGGATGGGAGCATGTGTAATTCAAGCAGGGCAGGAACAGGAAGTAAGCTTGGGTGTGTCACTGTGAGCTGAGATTATTACTGTCAGTTTAAAAATTACGAATGAATCACGGCCTCCTTTTTCAAAAGAAAAGCTCCAAATCACGCCATAGCGTATATAATGTAAATGAACTAAACTTCCCCAAAATGCTGGACATCAGATATCCCATAAATCTCATTCTAAATGATTTAAAAATGCGAACCACTAACTCAAAGTGCACTAACCTGACAGACTCATAACTGAGAGTTCTACATCTGATTGATGCATGACTGGGAGGCTTCGTGAAAACTCACTGCAAGCCCTCCATCACTGTCAGGTCACTTTCTCTCTCCAGTCGCCGACATGTTTTATAGTGCAAGGAAAATTGTAAGTCTCTGTAAATGTAACATTGGTAATCTGCTTGTTGAGTCTGACGTCACGTGTCACTGTTTCCGAGGCCAAACGCTTCATCAGATCCCAAAAGCAATCAACAAACCGTGCTAATATACACTCACCGGCTGTGTCTGAAATCACATTTTCTCTGAGTACTTCTTTTGAAATGACTTCACTTCAGAATCTCGCTTAAATAGTAGGTTATCTGGACACGTTTTGTCTGCTGTTTTATGAATACTGTCAATTCGGACATACTACTTGTCTGATCTATTTGATTTGCAGCCATGGCATGCCATAATGCTACGGAAAAATCATTACTCTAGTCTAATCGTTATCTCCATACCAAAATTTCATATGGCCAGATAGTAATTTATCTAAAAAAAAAACAGGCTTAGCTTAAATGTGGGATATGACTAAACAGTGCACATAAACGGCTGTTGAGATTCTCGATTGAAATGAGCAAAGGCTTGGACCCAGAAACAGTATTTATTACGTCACGACTACTTCACTTCAGAATCTCGCTTAAATAGTAGGTTATCTGGACACGTTTTGTTTGCTGTTTTATGAATAGTGTCAATTCGGACATACTACTTGTCTGATCTATTTAATTTGCAGCCATGGCATGCCATAATGCTACGGAAAAATCGTTACTCTAGTCTAATCGTTATCTCCATACCAAAATTTCATATGGCCAGATAGTAATTTATCTAAAAAAAACAGGCTTAGCTTAAATGTGGGATATGACTAAACAGTGCACATAAACGGCTGTTGAGATTCTCGATTGAAATGAGCAAAGGCTTGGACCCAGAAACAGTATTTATTACGTCACGACCTAATAAGCAGATATGATGTGGAATACACTCTGTGTGGCCATGAGGTAAGTGAATAACGGGCAATAATAATAATAATACAATTGGAAAAAAGAATAATGTAATTATTAATGTAATATAATTTCTTGTCAGTGTATTTACAAGAAATTCATTATTCAAAATGTATTCATTAAGCATGTCTATTTAAAAAGTTACTTTATAATAAAAAATACTTTAAATATTTAAAACATGTAAATAGCTTGTTTTGTTTTTTGTCCATTTGTTACAGATTTGTTTGGTTGTGTAGTTTGCATCTATACATGTTACCATATACCACATTATATTTTTTGGACATGTTCCATTGTATTTATTTACTTGCTTGCTTACTGTAGAGCAGGGATTTTTTCAGCTGAACTCCTTTAACCTAAAATATTTTTATTTTATTTTATGAAGTATTTTAGTAATTTAACACAATTGCTGATGTTAGCATTACATGGCATGTATAAAATATTTTTTACAATTTAATTTTTGTTTTGTTTTTTGTCCATTTGTTACAGATTTGTTTGGTTGTGTAGTTTGCATCTATATATGTTACCATATACCACATTATATTTTTTAGACATGTTCCATTGTATTTATTTACTTGCTTGCTTACTGTAGAGCAGGGATTTTTTTCAGCTGAACTCCTTTAACCTAAAATATTTTTATTTTATTTTATGAAGTATTTTAGTAATTTAACACAATTGTCTGATGTTAGCATTACATGGCATGTATAAAATATTTTTTACAATTTAATTTGAGATTTTATTATTTAATTAATTATCTGTGCTTTTACCCTGGAGATCATCGCTCAGGCATCACGCAGAGACAACTAAAGGTCATGTACAGCTGCCAAACACTGAAGAAATTCATGAGGGTGAAGAAACTGCCTAAGATAAGTTTTAGTATGCAAAACAGGGTACCATAGTGATTATCTACTAAATATCAATGAAGCTGTCTAGGTAGCCGGTAAAATTAAACACATTCAGATGACGGTTTGAGTGAATTTTCCCTTATTTGATCTCAGGGATGGAGTGGCTGTCACTGTATGTAGTTTTAAGATTATTGTGATGTATGTACAATGACAAATTGCTCTATTATAATTAATTTCTGATATTTTACTTCCCATTAATCAGTTAGCGCAGGTGACCGACTCAAAGTTTGTTTTAAAAATAAGGTTTTGGAAGAGTATTTTTATATGCAAAAATAATATTTGAGCAACTATAATTTTAGTAGACTTAAGACTCACATAACATGGACGTATTCTGTTGACAATTTTAGTAGCTCAATATAATATTCCGTTGAATTTAAATGAGGTGTGTAACCGAGTAATTAGTTTGTACAAGGCTGCCCTCTAGTGTATATTTTGAGAACACAAAGTGGCTTCCAATACATTCTGTACCAGTTTTTTAGTGTTTGTAACAAAATAGTAGTTCACTCAAAAATGAAAATTTGCTTAAAATGTACTCACCCTCAGGTCATACACTATATCTTGTGAAGTGAAAGTCTGTGTTCATAAAAACAAATTCATCACTACGACTTGACTTTAATTAAACGAGTCTTGTATCTGATATAGTTTACAAGCGAAAACAGTCCAAATAAACATGTCGGTGGATTCTGATGTGAGAGGACAACAGGGGATGGAATTTTTCAGGAGGCATTATTATGGATTATAGTCGCAGCTTTTCACTTCACAATACACTGACATACTGAAGTTGTGTGGATTATTGTGATGTTTTTAACAACTGTTTGGGCTCTCATTCTGACGGCGGCTCAATTAAAGACAACTTATAGATTTATGGGCTGCTTTTGGTGCTTGACACTTTTTTTATGGGCCATTTTGTGTTTCAAGAATAAGGTCCAAGGTTAAGAAGCTATTAGTTACTAAAAAAAAAATTCTCTATTTTACAACATTACAATAGGCCTAGTGAAAGAAGGCTTCCCTTATTGATCATGTCTTATGTAGATTGCATGTTTTCTTTCTCAATGTTGGACTCAAAAATGATCACGTTGTTTTTATTTGGCAAAACTGATTTACTGAAGTCAAAACACGGACGGAACTGGCGTTAGGCAGCGGATTTCGCAGCCTTCCTCGGACAGTTATATTCACTATTTCTGATTTGCTTTTCATAATCTTGCCCATCTATCTCTCCTAAAATGTGTTTCTGCAAATTCAATTCTGCTCCATTTTTCAGCTGTAGGATGTATTCGGCGAACTCTCGCACGACTCCGTGACCCGCTGCGTTGCGGCAGATGTATTTGGCATGGTTGAGCGTGACCGTTGGGGCATCCACAGGTACTGCGCTCAACCCTGCCAGTTCCAGGCACTTTACATCCGGCTCATCGTTTCCTGATACAGAAGCCAGAAAAAATATTTTGAGAAATCTGATAATCATTTTAAGGAAACAGTGGTCATTCTAATGAAAGATTAAATGATAAAAGGAATAGGCTTTAGTATTTGTAGTTAATATTGAGGTACAATCTTTTAAACCTGTATTAGCCACACCAACATTTCTAAGATACACCATGTTCTTACTGATCATGGCATTTGGCTGATGTAACCGGGAGAAATGTAGAGCTCCTGTCTCACCTAAATATGCCACCTCTTTCCACTCCAGCCCTTCTTCCTCCATGAGCTCCTGCACCTTCTCCAGTTTGTCATCCACATCCTGCAGGATCAGACAGCTCATTCTCTGCGAGAGCTTGTCAGCTAAGGCTTTTGCTATGGGGTCTTTTTCTATCATAATAACCTAGAGGAGAGGGGGGAAAACAAACACGTATACATTTTAAAGTAGTATTAATTTTTTGCTAACATCTTTTTTTAACTAATAGATCAGTCTCCGTAAAGACCGTCAAAAATTGCCAGTGCCGACTATATTTCAAGTCGTCATGGCGGGGTATTGGGTAAAGTTTTCAATTAGCAATAATCACGCCTCGGATAAACCTCATAGGCTACGATACTGCCACTGCGCAAAGATAAGCAGCCAAAGGAGACGTCTGAGTACTTGTGTGTTTGAGCCCCTGTGATCATCAATGGTGGGATCAGCAGAACCCACGAAAAATCATCAAACTGCACAACACTACACTTAAACTGTTAAAAACAGCTGTTTTTAAAAGTGAAATATCAAATTGTGCATTTTATACCGAAGTTATATTGAATTAAAAGACAAAAACAAGAGGGGTCCCAGTTGCATGATGGGATACGAAGGATGGGTCTATTGTTATATGGGGGTTGGTAGAGGTCGGGGGTGGGAAACACAAGGTTGCCAAACAAGCCAGAATCACCTTCACTTGCTTTTTCTTCAGCATGTCGATGCCGGCCTGGTCTCTGGTGTTGATAGACACCATCTCCTCTCCATTTTCTGAGATGTAGATCTGACCATCTGTCAGACATCCTGACAAGTTACACAGCAGAAGCTTCACAACTTCAGGTTTGTTCTTACCGAAGTAACCAAACCTGTGTCGAAATACACACACCCACGGGGTTCAGAGTCAGACTTTGCACTGTTTGCACTGTGGTTGTTTGCTAATATAAAGTAGTAAAGTAAAGTAGCGTGGAGACTATTGTTTCTTCACCTCCGCACTCTCTGTTCAGCTACGGGCCAGTCTATGTCAACATCAATATCCACACTGTACTCGGGCTTCATCTCAAAGTACTTCATTTTTCCACCCTGTGAAAAGTTACAAAAATGACAATTATGCAAGATACAAAGAGACTGATTGAGGATACTGATAATATGTTTTCTTGCCTATGGATTATTATGTCAAGCTTTTTTTGGTCACATATTATGTAGCTCATTAAATTAAATGGTGGCATTTAATCATTTTAAAACCCAAAATGTTACCTGAAGAAGCCCGTTTTTTACAAGTTCTTTGGTAGCGAAGTAAAAAGAGCCATTTTCGCACAGTTCTCCATCCCAGTCCTGACGCCGCAGCCTGCAAGCTGGGTTCAAGTTCAACGGCTCAGTACATTGGCAGCCTTGAATATAAATAAAAGGTTAAGAGTTTTCAACATGCAATAATTTCTTATGCCCATCAAGGCTGCATTTATTAGATCAAAAAAAGAAAACATTAATAGTGTGAAAAAGTATTACAATTTAACATAACTGTTTGATATTTTAATATATTTTAAAACAGAATTTATTCCTGTAATGGCAAATCTAAATTATCAGCAGTCATTACGCCAGTACTCCACTTCAGAAATCATTCCAATATGCTGATCTGTTGCTAAAAATAATTAGAAACGTTTCCTATCATTACCAATGTTGAAAACAGTTGTGCTGCTTAATATTTTGGTGTAAACTGTGATACATTTGTGTTCAGGATTCTCTAATGAATAGAAGGTTCAAAAGAACAACTTATTTTTGTAAATGTCTTTACTGTTACTTTTAAGCAATGTAATGCTTCCTTGGTGAATAAAGGTAAAATCTCCCCTTAAAAATCTGTACTGACCCCAAACTGAACATTTACAGAATGCACTCCAGCAAACCTTCGTCCTTGACCTCTTGCCATCGGAAATGGTGTCGCCGGACCACAGAAAAGACTGAATCACACCCTTCTTTGGTGATGCACTCCACAGCCTCTTTGAGATGGTGAGGGTGCAGACATGGAGACGTGGCCTGGATGTTACAGATGACGTCAACACCTGCAACATGTTTTTGTGAACATAATATACGTGTGTGTACGGTGTATATTTATTATGTATATATAAAGATGCACACATGCATGTATATATTTAAGAAAAATATCTTATGTTGATATTAAATATTTATATAGAAAATCTTTGTGTCTTTATATCTTCATAATAAATATACACAGTTCACAAAAACTTTTATTCTGGATGCGATTAATCGTTGCCCAGCACTAGTATTTTTAGAGTATATTTTCCCACCTTTTTTAACCTCCAGAGGACAAAAGAGAACACTGCTGAAGCCTTAACAATAAGAATGTTAACCGTACCTCTATATTTTGGGAAATGTGCCAAATCTAGCAAGGTTTTGAAGCTTGCAACCTTGAGGAACAAGCTGCGTTGTGTCTCTCTCACGTTCTTGTTAAGCGGCAATAAATATAGTTCCCCAGAACCAGATTTTGAAATGAAAAAAATCCTTATTTCCCAGGTAAATACCACCAATAAAACAACATTATAAACATTCTTCTGAATCAGTGCATGAATATTTGTCAGCTGTAGAGTCTGTTTTTCTGGTTTCATTCACAATGAAAATAACAAAGACAAGGCGGGTGAAACAAGTTGTCAAGCATGACAACTTGATTATGTGGCTTGTTCCCTGGTTCTATGTTTGTTTTACTCTAAAGCAAGCGGTAGTAGATGGACATACTCTTTTTACAAGCTGTAGTTACACCCCTTATATACAGAACTAACTAACTCGTGCAAAGGAATGTGACTGCAACAGAGCCTGTTATACAACCTGAGTTTAGTCTGCAGAACTCCCGGATGGTGTCCAGTGAGCTAGAGGAGTCTTTGGACACCTCTGGACTCCTCCTGTGCACTTGAGCCCCCCAAGCCCTGGCCACGCTCGCGATCTCATCATGATCAGTGGACACCCAAACACTGCAAAAACATAAACGGCATAACGTCTACTGCCACAGAGCACAACCAACCAATCACTGAGTGAGTGACATCCCATTCAATGACCTGTCAAACACCCCAGAGTCCAGCGCAGCTCTGATCACCCATCCGATCAAAGGCACTCCTGCCAGCATCTTGATGTTCTTCAGAGGGATGCCTTTACTCCCTCCACGGGCAAGAATAAGAGCCGCGATGTGTCTTCGTTTTGCGTTGGAAATGTGCTCAAGACTGTTGTCATTCAACTCTTGCATACCGTTTTTACGAAATGTGGAAGATCTGTAATACACAGAATACGCATTTTAATATGTTATACTGGCAGTTAAGTTCATTTGCTTTGCAACAGAGATAACCGTTAGCTAGTGATGTGCTTTTAGATGCTTACCCTTGCGCGCCGTCGAGCAAAGTGTTGTCGTCGTCTGCGTGTTGCTGTAAGAGTTCCCCAACTCTCTTGTATTTTTTATCTGTTTCTCGTTTGGCTGCCATCAGCCTCTTTTGAAACAAACGCCTTCGTCTTGCAGTTAAAAGCATCCACATGCCGAGAATGAAGAACATCATTCCACAGATATGATCCATTGTTGTGTTTGTTTGTGGCGCGTTTACGATGATGTCACGGCAGTAGATGCGGCGCAACTATAACGACATGTGAACAACCCCGTCCACTCTTAAGCGGTACTGAACTGCAGTGGAAACGCAAACCGTGCCGTGCCGTGCCGTACCATGCAGTGGAAAAGCGCCAGCGTTGCTAATCAATTAATACCGCCCAGCTGTACGGATAATAAGCAGGCAGATAAAAGTATATCTTAAACCCAGACGCGAGCTGTGAGACGTTGCTTCCATTCCAAAGCAATCTTCTTCTTCTTCTTCTTTGGGTTTTAACGGCAGCTTGCATCCTTAACGTTGCATTACTGCCATCTTCTGGTTCTAATTATTTCCCATATACTTTAGACATCATATTCTTGTCATGAGTCCCGTTTTAGTCAGAAAGCAAATCAAATATTTAATTCCTTGTTCACTCCTACTGCAGTCCATTATATCCTTTACTCCACGTCCTGTTAGTCCTATTTTTCCCATGTCATTTATCATGTCCATCCTCTGTAATTCATATTTTGAACAATTACTAAGCACATGTTCTACAGTCTCAGGTATTTGGCACTGTTCACAAAACCCAGTTGGATGTTTTCCCATAATATGAAGAGTACTATTTAATTTCCAAAGCAATCTTCTTCTTCTTAGTTTTATGGCGAGTTGCAATCTTTGCGCATATCGCCACCTACTGAGCGTCCACACCGCCGCCGTCGAGAGCGTCAACACTCGCTCTGGCCGCCCTGCCAACAACGCTGTAGGAAGATTCGTGGACGCTAACACGCTTGTTGATCTTGAGCAGACTGACCACAAGGAGGGTAACGTAAAGTTAACCTCATTAAATATTGTTGTGGACAAAGTATTAGGATCCTTTACCTCATAATGTATAAAGCACTAATACCACACTGTAAAAATACTCTGATTGGATGCAGGTAAAAGTCCTGCATTGAAAATGTTACTTAAGTATAATCAGGAAAATTGTTTTAAAGGTTTAAAAGTGAACAGGGACTATTATAGTATTGTTTATTATATCATTAGATTATTATTCCTATAACGTTAATGCACATCAGCAACTCACGGAACACCAACAATCTCAGACATCTTGGTCCACGCATCATATATTTTTTTTATGTCCCTGTAAGCAAACAGGGACATGTCATAGATTATTGGGAAACCCGCCACAGCAATAATCAACCTCTGCTCCGTTTTGCTTGGGAACTAATGTGGTCGGAACCAAAGTTGACAGGACTGCGTTCTCTGGAATCCTCTCAAGCGGTGGACTTCTACGTTCCGATTGGTTGCCGCCGAACCGCGTCATAGCTCATTACCATAAAGTTGACCAGGGGCAAGTTCAAGATCAAACTGGAGCGCAACGTTTGCTACGGTTTCCGGTTTGAACGACATGTTTCCTGGAAACGGTGTGCAACAGGGTTTGAGATACATTCAGTCTTTTGTCAGCAGCAGCATGTATGTAAATCACGCGGTATTAAAGAGACAGCTGGCACAATGTAATTAACATCAAAATAAATTCACAAGAGCAAGAATATTGTTTGCACATATTTATTTACATTAAAGGCAAAATAACTGAAATGATAAGAGCTTAAGTATAGATCTGGAGCTTCTTTAAGTCTGTCTAAATATAATTTAGTAATTGCAATCTTCTGGTCCATATCCTTTTCTTAGGAAGGTGTGCTAGACACTGATTAATGTAACATAAAAATACTATACATATTTATATATTTTGCTATTGTATTGTGGAGTGACACTTTCATAAACTTTTCTATACCCCTCTGATTATATAATGGTAAATATTACAATATCATAGCACAACAACAGTGATCAGCTATAATGATAAGCCCAATACTCACAATAAAAATAATAAGGTCATATAGATCATAACACAGTCTCGGAGGTAAGAAGTGGATTATCCTTCACCTGAAATGTTTGTCTTTTCATCCTGAAATGCGAGGCAAATGTTGGATCACAATAATTAGGAGCCACAGTTTCCACAAATCCCTTCATTTGATTGGGATGTTCTCTTTTATTCTGGAGGGCGAGGGCAGTGACATCCAGCGTATTTTGCAGTATTATGGGCCGTTCAATACCGCATTAAAAAAATGATCACTTTATCCCTCCCCCCTCCTCGAGGTCAGCAATCAGTATATTGCTTTCCTTACTGTATCTTGGACATTTCATTATAACATGCTCTACATTTTCCTCCCGATTACAATACTCACACTTTCCGGTTTCATGTCTATCTATTCTATTCAAATTGCTATTAATGCTGGCTTCACGTGCTATCCAGGTATGAAGTCGTGATTAGGAGCTTGTGGTATTCAAGTGCTTTAATGTCGGAAAGAAGAAATGTAGCATCCCATTGGTTGACTATCATAAACAGTCACTGCGCTACACGTGCAGTTTGCTGACAATTCTGGAATTTCGGTCAAATACATGCTTATTTCACTGCTTCTAAAACATACAATATGCTTCGAATGATCGTTCACATCTAGCCTATAAACACACTACTTTAGCGACAAGTGAAAGGGATGCAGCATTGACAGCAGCAATGGTTGTCCTTCCACCATGTTTAAAGATTATGACCCGCCCAACTCGGAACTCCGGTATCAAAATGATTTCCTAATTTCCCAGTAGTAAATAAATACGACTTGAGAGGCGTTCACGTATCATTTCCGCTTAGGAAACTCGTATTTACGATAATTCCGATAGCACGTGAAGGCAGTTGGGCTGGGAATCGATTCCGAGGCGTTGGGAATTGAGAGTCGATTTGGTTGGAATCAATTTCATCAAAAGGGGAATCGACTCCTCATTTTCAGTTCAACAAAACGTATCTATGGGTGCCTCTCAAACGGACGGCTGCACACATTTAAACGCTGCGCGACAGAACACATCAAGACGTGATCAAGGGTCTTGATCTTATTTCCATCTAAAATACTTTTTTTTACATTTCTATCAGCCAATGATAACTATAAAAGAAAACGTCCCGAGCATAGATCAGTGGCTGAGAGCTCATCTGATTGGCAGATAACCCACGAGCTCTATCAGTTATTGTTAATGTTCTGGTTATGTTGTTTCAGTGCACAGTTTGTTAACTTTGTGCAAAGCATACAGTCAAAGTAAACTTCATCATTCAGCTGAACCGTGCATTTATTTGAGACACTTCATGTCATGTTCAATGTCCCTGCAGAGCTGTGGGCTAGGACTGATTTCACGGGCAAAGCAGACACATTTACAATTTATGTATCGTCATTTTATTTTTATTACAAATAAAGCTTTATATTATGAGAAGGATACTTTCTCTACGACCTTTCTCCCTTTATCCTGCAGTCACGGTGAGATTATAGATTCCTTCAATCTAAAAAACAAGAATCGAGAAAGAATTGAAAACAACAGTGAAGACTCGATTCCAAAAATGTCGGAATCGACCAGCCCTAGAAGGCAGCATAAGAGCAGTATGACTAAATCTAAGCCTTGAGACTACAGTTTCTACTTGCTATTACATGACCTTCCACTTCGTACATATCACGTTATACCCTCCTGTTCTATTAGGATAAACTACTCTTCATTCACCAAGTAAATCAGTCTCCGTAAAGACCGTCAAAAATTGCCAGTGCCGACTATATTTCAAGTCGTCACGGCGGGGTATTGGGTAAAGTTTTCAATTAGCAATAATCGCGCCTCGGATAAACCTCATAGGCTACGATACTGCCACTGCGCAAAGCTGACGGTAAGCTGTCCAGAGAGGGGACGCGTCCAAACGACGCACGAGTTCCCTCGACGGTAAGCATACTTACTCTTCCCTCTCCTATAGACAGGGTCACTGTGAAGGTGGATATGCAAATCGAAATGCTGCAGCAGAAATAAGTCGTGAGAAATATGTGTTTAATGAACGTTTTAAACATATGCATGTATATATATATATATATATATATATACTATTGGTTAACCTCGCGCAGTGCATGCTGGGATATACAGCAGTTTTCAATTATACCATAGCACAACAACAGTGATCAGCAATAATCTTAAGCCTAATACTCACAATAAAAATAATAAGGTCATATAGATCATAACACAATCTCGGAGGTAAGAAGTGGATTATCCTTCACCTGAAATGTTTGTCTTTTCATCCTGAAATGCGAGGCAAATGTTGGATCACAATAATTAGGAGCCACAGTTTCCACAAATCCCTTCATTTGATTGGGATGTTCTCTTTTATTCTGGAGGGCGAGGGCAGTGACATCCAGCGTATTTTGCAGTATTATGGGCCGTTCAATACCGCATTAAAAAAATGATCACTTTATCCCTCCCCCCTCCTCGAGGTCAGCAATCAGTATATTGCTTTCCTTACTGTATCTTGGACATTTCATTATAACATGCTCTACATTTTCCTCCCGATTACAATACTCACACTTTCCGGTTTCATGTCTATCTATTCTATTCAAATTGCTATTAATGCTGCCTTCACGTGCTATCGGAAATTTCCAGGTATGAAGTCGTGATTAGGAGCTTGTGGTATTCAAGTGCTTTAATGTCGGAAAGAAGAAATGTAGCATCCCATTGGTTGACTATCATAAACATTCACTGCGCTACACGTGCAGTTTGCTGACAATTCTGGAATTTCGGTCAAATACATGCTTATTTCACTGCTTCTAAAACATACAATATGCTTCGAATGATCGTTCACATCTAGCCTATAAACACACTACTTTAGCGACAAGTGAAAGGGATGCAGCATTGACAGCAGCAATGGTTGTCCTTCCACCATGTTTAAAGATTATGACCCGCCCAACTCGGAACTCCGGTATCAAAATGATTTCCTAATTTCCCAGTAGTAAATAAATACGACTTGAGAGGCGTTCACGTATCATTTCCGCTTAGGAAACTCGTATTTACGATAATTCCGATAGCACGTGAAGGCAGTTGGGCTGGGAATCGATTCCGAGGCGTTGGGAATTGAGAGTCGATTTGGTTGGAATCAATTTCATCAAAAGGGGAATCGACTCCTCATTTTCAGTTCAACAAAACGTATCTATGGGTGCCTCTCAAACGGACGGCTGCACACATTTAAACGCTGCGCGACAGAACACATCAAGACGTGATCAAGGGTCTTGATCTTATTTCCATCTAAAATACTTTTTTTTACATTTCTATCAGCCAATGATAACTATAAAAGAAAACGTCCCGAGCATAGATCAGTGGCTGAGAGCTCATCTGATTGGCAGATAACCCACGAGCTCTATCAGTTATTGTTAATGTTCTGGTTATGTTGTTTCAGTGCACAGTTTGTTAACTTTGTGCAAAGCATACAGTCAAAGTAAACTTCATCATTCAGCTGAACCGTGCATTTATTTGAGACACTTCATGTCATGTTCAATGTCCCTGCAGAGCTGTGGGCTAGGACTGATTTCACGGGCAAAGCAGACACATTTACAATTTATGTATCGTCATTTTATTTTTATTACAAATAAAGCTTTATATTATGAGAAGGATACTTTCTCTACGACCTTTCTCCCTTTATCCTGCAGTCACGGTGAGATTATAGATTCCTTCAATCTAAAAAACAAGAATCGAGAAAGAATTGAAAACAACAGTG